ATTTGTTCATCTTCTGTTTCTTTAAAATCTAACCAGACGTAACTCAGCTCATCCAAAAAAAAAATATATATATATATATTATTATTATGTTGTTGTTATTATTAGAACTTAGTTCAAATATTTTAGGCAAAATATATAGTTTACCTATCAACTTTGCAGCGAAATTTCTGTTATACACTTCTTTTTCACGGGTAGTCTTTTACACACTCAACCTTTCAAAAGTGTGTCTAAGACACACCACTTTTGTGCTTGACCAATTTTTCAGATAACGTGAAATTCACGTCCTAACAAGATCGCGACACGTGTCATTGACTTTAAAAAGGAAAAAATAATAATAGAAATTAAAATTAAAATCCATCTTCTTCATCTTTCCATTGTCTATCTTAAGCACCATTATTGCTACCATCATGGTTGTTTGTGAGAAAGTTTCCAATAATACCAAAATTTAACTACACTATCGAAACAACTAGCCAAAAATAATCGAGCAACAAATTGAGTTCAATAACCCAATAATCAACAAGACCCAATTAAATTTTCAAACTTTTTTTGATACCCCAACAATAGTGGATTCTAGATTTTTTTCACCAAACCTTCAATACTAATGTTAAGGCTTTTAAATCTATCACAAATAAATAATTTTCACAATATTTGGACAATAAACCAACAAATTTCGCTCAATTTTAGATCTAAAATCGATATTTTCTTTCAAAAAATAGGATTTTTTACTGGTTTTACGCGCTTTTTTGTGTGTAAACACGCAAGTGCTATCTGGTCAAAAATAGTGTGTCTGAGACATACTTTTAAAAGGTTGAGTGTGTAAAAGGTTGAGTATGAAAGAAAGGTATGTAACAGGGATTTCGCTGCAAGGTTGATGAGTAAACTATGTATTTTGCCAATATTTTACGATTAAATATCAATATCAGCTAAGGGAATTCAAACATAAAAAAATAAAGATGCAAACAAGCTAAGCGGATTCAACAACTAATATATATACATTAAAAAAATTAACCTTATATATACAACTAGTAAATGATAGCTCGTGCTATGCACGGGCCCAATAAGCGTATACTAAATATTAAATTAGTTTTGGATTTTCATATAATAAATGGTCAGGTTTATTATTTACTTCTTTTAGTTGGTATACGTAAGGTATATTCTAATGATACATGATTATACATATAATATGAATGGATCATACATATGCAGTTTTTTTTATTTGTTAATAGTTCGTCTTCGAAGATAAAGTTAGTCTTAAATCAAACAAAAATAACTGAAAAGAAAAGAATATACTATAATTTTTTTGGTCCCAACTATTTCCTGAAAAATAAATTACAAAAGGAGCTTGCTTGATGTTCATATTGTGCTAATCGTTGTACTAAAGATTCATTTTTATAACATAAAAGATTTGTTACCATCTTAAATACAAAATTCATTTAGAGTGATTTTAATATATTTTCAAGATAAATATTTCTTTTATTCATAGCATAAAAGATTTGGCGACATCTTCAGGTAAGGAATTCATTTTGAAATTTTTGTCAAACTCTTATTAAGCTTTCTATTCCCATATTTTAGAGCTGGATTACAATTCTAATATAAAAAATTTCAATCCCCTTTCAAGTACAAGATATGTACTCTCCAAGAACAAGACTTAATCACATAAGTTTTTAAGTTAGAAGTACTTTTACTTTTACAAGTTTTATTGAATAATTCACTTTAACTATTTGGTTTTCCAATTGTCCTGCTAACAATGAACACAAGTTACTTAACAAGCATTTTCATTCCCAATGATTGAAAAGAAGAATGGTCATATACCGTTGCATTTATAGTTTTCATTTGTGAATTAGAGTTTGTTTGGATTGACTTATTTTAAGTACTTTTCAGTCAACATCGCTTTTAAGTTATTTTGTAGTGTTTGAATAAAGTAAAAAAAAAAATACTTTTAAGCACTTATTTTTAAGCTACAATCATAAAAATAAGCCAAAAGCTAAAATTCCTAACTTATGATTTATACTTAAAAGTCACTTAAAATAAGCTCATCCAAACATGCTCTTAATAGAATTTATTTGCACCTATTCTTCTTCTAGTGGTAAGTGACAATATAGTGATAGTATATAATCCTTTGTTCAATCCTTCTTCTATTATAGTACTTCCTCCGGTTCACAATAAGTGACCAATTTATTTTTTTATTTTGTTCCAAAATAAGTGTCCATTTATATAAATAAAAAATTCAATTTGTTTTTTCAAAATTACCCTTATGTATGTATCCCTAAAAAGTCATTTACTTCTCACATTTGAGAAGAGAAGAAAGTGCTACTATAATTATGGTGCAACATTTAATGAAGGGTACTTTAGTCACACTAACTATGATCGTCTAGAATTTAGTATTTCCTTAATGGTTGTGCCCAAAGCAAATTGGTAACTTATTATGGATCGGATGGAGTAATAATTAACACAATTTAGTTAGGACGCCCTTTTTTTTTTATATAGTAATTGAAGAGCTTGGTAAAATAGTCTCTTTATTTATTCTTTTTTCATAATAATGGATAGTGCTTGTTTTTCTTTGTTACTTTAGATTGACTCTATTAGTCTAACTAAAATTCTTTACTCAATTTTTTTTACTATTATTTTTGTAAGAATTTAGAGTTGAGTATGCTAAAGTTAGATCGATTATTATTTATAATGGTGAAAATAAAAGATTTAATTTTAATTTACAAAATGAGCTTAGTTTGTTTACCCAAAAAAAGGGCCTACTATTATTTATTTACTCAATAAGATTTTACAAACAAATATGCTAAAGTTGGAAAAAATTTGATTTACAATGAAGTAAAGAATGATCAAGTTTACAAAAATGAGGCTTTCTTTATATACTGTATAAAGTTCCTGTTGAAGAAGAAGCATTCAAAAGCGTGCCAAAAGAACACGTGAATTTGTGAGCATGTCACTTTCATGTGATATCAGCAGCATTATATCTTTTTGGGCAATTGAAAAAAGGTTGTATTCTTCATTGGATTTACAGAGATGTACAAGTGTATTTATCGTTAAAAAGTTCAAAAGTAGGGGCAAAATGAGACCTTAAAAAAGTACCGCAACTCAGACCAATTAACTGTATAAGGATGCCTTGGGATTTAGAGGAAATAATGCTGGTTTTATAGTCAACACATCAAAAGGTCAAGTAGTTGAAGCAGACGGTGCAATACAGCTGAGCAAGGAAAACCAATAATTCTAAAAATACCCCTATGCCAGGCAGGCATGTTAACCATGAGCTGCCTGGATATTCCCACTTATAGTATAGGAAATAGATATAATTTTCGGCAAAGGAGGTTCGGCTAAATCCCCTTCCGTTCATCTAGCTCCGCCCTTAGTGAATGATCCGATTTGATCAATTCAATCATGATGTTGATCGGGGAAAAAATCATATATATATATATATATATCAAGATATTAAAGATCAAAAGAAGAAGTTAATATGCAAATAAATTGTGTCATACTCGATTAATATTATTTCATAATTGGAAGCCCATCGATTAATCTATTAATACGCAAAATAAAGCTATTAAAAAGGACTAGAGGATCAGTTGGTTTTCCTCTATCACTCCAAACTTTTTGCCAACCAACGAACCATTCCAATTACCCCCCATCTATATCTGTCCTCTTCCTGGTCATATCTTACATTGACTGTTTATAGGTTACTATTATCTATTAGTAACCATTATTTTCTTTTTTCTGTCATTATTTAAAGTAAGAAACTTTTTTATCTTTTTTTTTTAGTTCTCTAAACACTTAGCAAATTAATTTCTTAATTGACATATACTTGTCTTGCTTTTATACTTTCTTGCTCAATCATATTAATTAAGTTTCTCCATGAGCTGAATACAATTAGTGTAGAACAATTTTGGAAGAAGAGTACAATCAAACCTAAGAGTCATCTTCTATAGCAGCACTGTTAGGTGTTTGTCCTGATTTTCTTATCATATTTGGTAATTTTTCTATCTCTAGAAGAAAAAAATAATATATTTATCATAGTTGGGTTTTCCTTCTTTTAGAAGAAAATTACTCCCTCTGTCTCATAGTATGTGTCGTGCTTACTAAAAATGTTTGTCTCAAATTATTTATCATTTTTGAAGTTCAAGACAAAATTGATTATATTTTTTCTTTTTTAACCTTAATAATCAATTGCATTTACATTTAGTAAAAATATGGATAATGTCATTGATAGAGATGACACATAAATTGAGAAAATATTTCATAAGGGTAAAGTAGTCAAAAACTATTCTTTCTTAAGGAGCGTGCACATGAGAATCATGAGACATATTATGAGACGGAGAAAGTATAAATTTTCTTTTTTGGAGGAAAATGTTTGGACTTCTACAAATTGAGGTAGCCATATGGGTTTGAGAGTCTTGTTTAAGGGGGAGAATTACGGGACAAGTGTTAGCCTATCGCTTGTGTTTGTCTCTTCGTGAGGTAGTTCTCTCAATATTTTGTACTCTCTTTTATATAGTGGATTGCTAATCTCTGTCTGTGAACGTAAGTCAATTGATCGAACCACGTTCAAGGTTTGTTTTATTATCTTCTTGACACCTGATTATTTTGATCCGAAAAAGCACTTCACTATAATAATCAATTTTTTTTTAAAATATTATGTTATAATATATGTTATTTACAACCGCACTTCAACAAAAGAGAGTGTTATAGGAAAATTTGATTGTATTAACTTTGCCTAGAAGCAAAGTTGCACCCATTTGCATCGGAAACTTAGAACTCGAAACTATCAAAAAAAAATTCCTTAAATTTTATAGTCGACATAGTTTGCATTTTTCAAGGATTAGTTAAACACATCCCTCATGGCCAGATACTTACATACATGCGCCTAATGTACGGAAAACTTGTCTTTCGAGGAAAACTAAAATTAAAATAATAACTTGTAATGTGTGAAACACCAAATCTCAAAATATTGGGGTTTGAGAAATTAAACTAATTTGACTGCTTTTATAAAATTGTACACTAATAAATAAACAAAATTTGTCCCCTTGGAACTAAGGTAGAGGTTTCTTGTTAGTAGCAAAAGTTAGGGTTTAATGTCGGCCATAAACAAAGGTACAACACGACATAATCCTCATATTCTTATAAACTCCTAATTACAACAAAACATACACTTCATTTTCCTAATTAGTCAAAATTGTATTCCCAACAACTATATTTTTCTACTAATATATATATTTTGGGAATCACTATATAATAATAGTAAACTAATCAAGTTAAAATAAAACCTAAATTAAGGATCTTGAGTTTCATGGGCGAATTGACTTGTTATGTATAGGACGTCGTCTTCTAACCCAATGATAATCCATTGTAAAGAAATCAGAAGTGTCTTTCCCTTCAACCCATTCTTGTCTTGTCCCTTTTCTTGCATGAACCATGATTGCAGCTTGATCTTGCTCATGTTCTTTACCTGGACAAGTCACAAACATGTCATTAGTTACTTTCTCCGGTCTCGTACAGTCAAACAATATCTATAACGACCTCATTTGTTTAAAAAAAATTTAAGTGTTGTAATAAAGTATTGTTATAGAAAACATATATTATAACATAATATGAAAACTTGGCCGTTATAGTTAAGTGTTGTTATAGAGGATGGTTATTACACAGATGTCTGACTGTATTAATAGTTTTGACAAACTAATGAATTTGTTTCAAAACATTTGACGATTTGGAAAATAATAAGAGATTATTTAATAAGTATGTTTTTTTTTCAAATATGTTTTTACTCTAGTTAGTGTAGTGTTAATTAAGTTAGATGTTTAAAGAGAGAAAATTATATATACACTTTTATGATTAAGACTATTATAAATGTCTTTCTTAAGAAACGTAAAGAAACATTTAAGAAAAGATAATATGAACTAGAGGAAGTATTTTAACTAAATTTGTTAGTCAAAAAGTGGACAAATCGTCGAACTAGTTAAACTGCGAAGTTAAAAAGTAGACAATTCGAAACATAAATTGCGTACTTTAAGATTCTGCACCATATAATATTAAAATAAGTAAAAAAGACTACGCATGAAATTATGGAATATCAGCATATCAATGGAAAGCTTAGTTAGTTAGTCAAAGTACAGGATCTTTCAAAAATTGAACTTTTAGTCTTTTAGGCCATATTATTAAAAAAAATGATGAAGCTAGTCCTGTACTTTTCAGTTTTAACGGAAGAAACTTGTATTTATCTCTTAGATAGGAACATATATACGTCATGCATGAAACCCTGTTAATGTTAATGTTACCATACAAGACTAAATTGATACTATATGTATAAACACAAGCACAAACATATATTCTGCATGTTTGCAACACATAATTAATCATATAGCGAAACAAAAAAATAAATAAATAGGTGCATTACCTGGTAATGAAACTTGGTTTGCAGTGTTGAATGGGACCAAATGCTTTTGATCTCCCTTACTTTTCACCTGATTCATACAAAAAACAACATGTCATTTACATGAAAAAGCACAACCATATACTGAAAAATATTAAAAGAAAAAAAGAGGGAATCCTAGCTTATTCTCAAGAATAGAAAGGAAAATAGAAAAACCAAAACTAAATTAAATCATTACATTTGGCTGTTCATTGAGCTTCATCTTCCTAGAACTTGAAGAGAGAGTCATCTTCATTTCGTGATCTGCCAAAAATTACAATAAAATGAAGTTAGCATGAAATATGACTGGAAAAAAAAAAGAAGACTAAGGGATAGAAAGAAAATGATGAAATACCTAACAGTGGAGCAGCAGATGAAAATGAAGATAACGTGAATAATGAGAAACAAATGAGTAGAGTAGAGATGATTCTGATGATTTCCATTCTTATAGTTAATTTGTTAACTGGCTAATAATGAAAGTGTCATTCTTTTGGACATTAAACTTGCAATTTATAGCAGTCAAAGAAGTAAGGTAAAAGGCTAAAGGCCACAGAGTCCAATGAAAAGAAGAGAGAAAGAAAACATACACAAAGCACAAAACTCATAGTTCCAAAAAATAGAGTAGGTGTAAAAATACATATTTTTTGAGTTTTTGCCTTTTTAGGAACCTTCACACCATTTGGGTTGATTTTGTGTTACCTAACATCCTACCCTTGTAGGACCATTCATCCGTGAGGTTATGTATGCTGACAAAATTGTTACATTTCTTCACGTATGTCTGTCTTAGCAAATTCGATGTGATAATTTAATTTAATTTTCTTTATAATTGTGCTGTCTGAGCCGGCTTACACGTACCTCGACTAACTAGTTCTATAGAGTATCTGCTATCTCTCACCAACAAAGTTATAGATAATTATGTTGACTATAGTTTGGATAGATGAAAGGAATCGCCTAGTGTTTTTTTCTCCGGTGAAATTTAAACCTAAGAATTCATAATAATTTAAGTTATGTTTTGAAAGAAAAAGAAGTTCATGACTTGCATTATATTGTCCTCTATTCGTTTTCTTCTTTCATCTTTGGTTTCTCTCAAATGTTTCTTTTGTTTTGGGTACATTGTAAGATTTCAAGAAAAACCAGGGTTGGATGTAGTTTCATCAAGATATAACTCCTTTCAAGAAGCTTAGCATCAATATCATGTATTTCATCCAAATAAAAAATAAAATAATTTCACATTTTATCCCAAGGTTATTATCTTTTATCTCTGATATCAACGACCAGCTATGTTCATTTATAAGTAGCTCATTACAATAATTAGCCAATTCATGAAATATTATTAATATTAGCCAAATATTACTAATATTAGCCAATTAACTATTTGTAGCAAAATTAGGTCAATTTTTTTTTGAGTGGGTGTTATTAGAATAGATTGGATACATCTTAAAGAGTTCGAATCTCAGTTTTGGGATGATTTGGTGAAGTTTTGAGGTGGTTTGAATTGAAAATTCGAAGTAAAACTCGAACATGAAAAAATGATATGTGTATCACACTGTGTATCATTTGTATATGTATCATATTTGTATCAATTATGTATCACATGTATTTTCATGTATACTTGTGTGTGAGATACATGCATGATACATGTGTCGCAGAAGAACTTTTTTGAACTCGATTTAATTACGAATTTTGATACAAAATCAATCCAAATCACCTCCAATCTTCATCAAATTTTGTATATTGACTTATCTATATATTTTCAATGAATTTCAACTATACACATTGAAAAAAGTTCCTTTTTTGCTTAGACTTTTGGAATATTATATTTTTTTTGTATTTCATTACCTTATTTGGTACCTCATTCATGAAATTTCCTTTCCATCTTGCATCTAATGTTGCTAATCATGCTTAAAAATATGGAGAGAGATTTTTGCATGTGATTCTTTGAGATAAAAACCCTTATTTATTTAGTTTTTCAATTTTTATATGTGCTTGACTAGTTTTGGTAAGCTTATGACTAATGGCTAGAGGTTGGTAAGTTGAAACTTATATGGGACATTTGTGTAAGTTTCCCTACTTTCTTCTCCATACAATTTGCGGGGATTAAATAAAGCCTAGTTGGAAGTCATTAGGCCACCGAAATCAATTGAATTATGAACTCTAAAATCAGTAAATTGTTCTTCCGTATAATTGTGTATAATTAATGTATAATATATATATATATATATATATATATGACTAGAAAAAGTAAACAGTGAATATAATCGGAGGTTTGTGTAATGACCCCAATGGATATTCAGAGATAATTTTTAGTGCTCAACACAATGGGCCTTGACCAAAAGAGTCCAAGGACAGAAATTTCCTAGCCAAGGCCTTGCTCCATCAGGCATTCCTACAACAGGTGGCTCTGTTCCCTCAATAAATGAGAAGCCCACATTTGTAAAGAATTACATGTCCAAAATTGCAAAGAACAAGAATCAGTGGCAGTAACAAGAGAAAAGAAGGGACCTCTTTTTCTTTCGGTTTAACCATCCAGTATCCGATTCTACTAAAAAGGGCAGTCCGGTGCACTAAGTGGTCGTTATGCGCGGGGACCGGGAAAGGGTTGGACCACAAGAATCTATTGTACGCAGCCTTATCCTGCATTTTCTGCAAGAAGCTGTTTCCACGGCTTGAACTCGTGACCTCCTAGTCACATGACAACAACTTTATCAGTTACACCAAAGCTCCCCTTCAGTATCCGATTCTACTGGCCCAACTAATTCACATTCGCGCCTAGTAAGTCCACTAACAACAAATATGGTAATAACTGACAATAGCTAACCCAATCTGCAACAATATACATACTAAGAACTCTCAAGTGAACAGTAGATGAGTATATGATAGATTGTATAAGGAAAACAAAGATGCAAGAAAAGTTTTTACATCTGCAGCCTCCATGTTTAATAAAACAAACTCTAAAGCCATGTAAAACCTACCAAGAATAGCATGCCACCCCCTAAGAGAATATCAACATGTATACTTACAGTGCTCAAAATGTTCAAGATTTAAGCTTTTGTATATTTTGCATTAAGATCCTTATAAATAGAATAAATAAAATAAAAAAGAATTTAGAATCTACAACACAGAAGACCCTGCCTCCAACCCTTTTGTTTCCGTAAACGCCTCCTTTCTGCCTTTGCCATTCTTATTGGACTGCTATTCCATTCATTTTGTAAGCTGCAAAAAGAAAAGGAAAATGTTAATCACAAGTTACTAATCAGGATTAAATGGAAATGAAAAGGAAACTTAAGTAGAAATGACACCAGGTAGCCACTCTAAAGGGCTGCTATTAGGAATTAGTCGGTGCGTCCTGAATTTCAATTTTTCAGGACAAAAATGTTCTGAGTTGTCCTGAAGTTAAGACTTTTAGTTTAACTTTTCAGGATAAAATAAGTAATGGCTAATCTCTGAATAGCATCCCTGAGAATGACTATCTGTGCACTTGCCAGAAACTTAAAGCATGAGAAGTAGCAAAGCATTACACTGGGAAGGCAAAGGATCTGGCACTGGTTGTGCTGGCATCTGATCGAAGAGAGATGCTCCCAGAATACGCTATAGGCCCCGAGTAAGTAATAGAACCTGATGCAGGAATTACAGAAAAACTTGCCTCTCCATCAGCAAAATGACCTTGGTCACCTGGTGGAAAGTTATCAGAGAGTTTATCTTCAAGATTAGCCACATTTTGGGATTTTTGGTGAAGATTGTCAGCAGTATTGTCCACAATGTTATGAGCTTGACTAGCAGCTGAAAGACCATCAGAATTACCATCCTTGTGAACGGCGATGACCTTTGACATGAGAGAATCTTCAGGCAAATTTTCAACACCTTTTTCCTTGCTTTTGTTGGAGTCTGGCTTGGTCGAGTTGAAGTCGAAAATACTAGCTCCAGTTTCCTTCTTGCTATTGTGAAGTACGTTGGAAGCTGGACCACTCTTGTTTGTCTCATCAGCTGCAGAGACCACTGCAGTCTGGCTTTTCAAAGTTGCTTGCTCAGAAGGCATCTGCAGTTCAAGAAACTAAATCCTCAACAAATTGTCAACCAAAAGAATGTGTCCATATACGCCTATACTAATAGGCCGATCTGTAAATATAATAGCAACATACCTGATCAGGTTGCAGAGCAGAATGATCACCATCAGAGTTAGATTTTTGAGAATTATTAACTTTGGACTCCTCCAAACGAACCACGTTATTAGGAGATGATGCCTTTTCTGATGCATTAGTAGCTTTTCCATTTGCAGTACATTTTGAGCCAAAAATCATCATCAGATCCTCAAAATAAGAATCCTTATCAGCATTTTTGTTGGCATTATCTTCTGCGGAGGGATTGAAACCATTTGGAACGAGTGCTCCAGTAGCCTCTTGTTCTATATCACGAGTCATAGCATCCTTCTTGGAGTCTTCGACAGATGAAACTTTCGACACAGATGAAGTGAGCGACCCCTCATCGACACTTTCCCTTGTGTTGCTCTGCTGGTCTTCATCAGCACCAACAGAAACGGACGTGCTAGGTTGATCATCTTTCCAGCTTTCAATTAGAACTTTATCGACTGCAGGTACGCCTTCATCCATGCATATATCTTTAACAATGTTAAAATTACTCTCTCTGTAGCAAACTGTCAATTCAGGCAGATCATGATCGGTGACGCCTTTATCGCTATATAAATTTGTGTTATTCTCAAACAACTCTGAGTGAGAGGTAAAAGGCGAATCAGATTTTATGGTTTTATTTTCTTTGTGATCAAGGAAATCAACAATCATGGAGCACTCGTATTCTGGAATATTCCATGGCTGATCTCGATCTTTTGTATCACATTCAAATGGATTTCCACCCCTCTTGGTATTGATGATATGCGACAAGCTTCCATTTTGATCATCCGTCATACTTGCAGCATCAATTTCATTTGTGTTACTTAAGGGAAAGTCACAGGCAAAAGGATTTCCACCTCTCTTGTCAGCGATTACTTTGGACATGTCTACATTTTGATCGTCCCTCACACTAGAAGCTTTAATTTCATTGTTGTTATCAAAAAATATAGAATCATCAAGTTCAGGAACTTTCCAGAATTCATTTCCATCTTCTCTGTCACGAGCCAAAGGGTCTTTGCTATTGTCATGGACATTTGTATTCGCAAAGTTTTTTGTTGGAAAACCTAAAGAATCTTCCTCCTTGTAACCATTTGAATGACTTAATATCCCATTCTGACTTCCCTTCATGTTAGGCTTCTCTTCAGCTGTGTCAAGGACGCTGTTGTTGCATTCAAATGTTTTAGAATCATGCACAGAGACTAGGTTTGAATCACAAAACAGAGGATGGTTATCTGCAGTCGAATTTAACTTCTCAATGCAGGGATCAAGATTTGTAGGAATAATACATTAAAAACTATCAAAAAAACTCCCAAAGTAAATATATCTTAGAAATAAAGGAGTACTATAAGAAAACATTGACATTTCAACATTTATCAAGTGAATTTTTATTACTTGAAACTAAAATAGGAAAACAAAAACGTCGGTT